ACCCCAACTCCACTCTGTCTAAATATTACTTTTTACCTGCACCTCAATGACGCACATCTTTCCACTTCTTAAACTCTCTTTCCATTCATTGTCTAAATCACATTTGTGATTGCCTAATAATTCACCCAATGTAGTAGTTTGTTATTTCTATATGTAATACAGATACCATATGTTTGAGAGGGGTTTTTTTTTTCTCTCATTACTTCATATAACTAGACTTTAGTGCCTTGTTCCTAAATATTATGTTTAATATATCTGCATTTGTTACAGTGTTAATCTAAGGACAAAGGACAAGCTGCAAGTGCTTATTCATTGAATCTGTTGTAATACCGTATAGTCTTTTTTTCTAAAAGGCCAGTCACCAATACTGACATTTAGTAATGATTTACAGTAGAGATTCTTATTAATAAAGCTTTTTCTCGATAAAGAATTTTCAAGATTATTTAACATAATTGAACTCTACCAGGGAAATGATCTCAGATCCTAACTCTATCTCTAAAACTAACTGTATTCTGAGAAAACTTCTATTTACCAAAACTTAGATTTGGGGGGATTGATTTTTTTTTAAGTTCTTTATATATTCTAGATAGTAGACCTTTGTCTGAAGTACAGCTGGTAAAAATTTTTCCCACATTGTAGGTTGTCTCCTAGCTCTGTTGGTGGTTTCTCTTGCAGTGCAGAAGCTTTTTAATGAGATCCCAGTTGTTGATTCTTTATGCTAATTAGTTCCTGTGCTACTGATGTTTTGTTCATAAAGTCTTTTCCTATGCCAGTGTCTTCAAGAGTTCTACCTAACTTATCTTCCGGCAAGTTTAGTGTTTCTATTTTAATATTTAGATCTTTAATCCACTTCAATTTTAGTTTAGTGCATGGTGAAAGATAGGGGTCTAGTTTCAGTCTTTGGCAACTTGAAACCCAATTTCTCCAGCACCATTTATTAAAGAGGCTATCTTTCCTCCAGTGGGGATGCTTGGCTCCTTTGTCAAAGATGAGGTGGCTGAGTATGTCTGCAGTTGTTTCTGCATCTTCTAATCTATAAGGATTAAAATGAGTAATTGATAATGTGAAACAGGAAGAAAAGCTCCAAAGGGGAAGGGGAAGTGGGAGGTGTAAGGGAAAGAAGGGAAAGGAAAAAATATGAGAAAAGGAAAAAATGGAAACAAAGACTTTGTAAATAGGGAGGGGTGGAGGAGTAGAAGAGAAGGCAGGGAAATGGGGGAAAATAAGAACCAAGATACATTATGTAAAGATACAAGTTCCCAATGATAAATGTAAATGTATTGTATACCTAAAATGTACCAATAAAAAAATTTAAGGAAAAAAAATAGAGTGATTTCCCCAAAGTGTGATACTCATGTTACTTTGCCCCAACATAATACATATAGTATTTAATTATTTGTTACAAAATTCAGTTGTTTTTAAAAATGAAAGTCCTAAAAATAACAGTGACCATTTTTATAACTTCACTATCAATCTTTTATTCTCATTAATATTCCTAATATAATAAACATTCTCATTAATATTTCTTAGATTGATGTAATTTCATTCATATTGGGAATCACTTTCTATAGATTAAATTTTATTTTTTGGATGATTTTTAAGACATTTTCATAAGTCTGGGTAATAGATAATTTAGGCCTTCAAGTTTATTTTAAATGAATGTTCCTTTATAAAGAAAATATCTCCATCCAGTGGGCAAATTGTTATATTACACCCTACAAAGAAAAGTTTGTTAGCTCCTATCAAGCATTTTTCTGACCTATTAACAAACATTTTGGTTTTAATAGGTAATATTATGGCAAAAATGTTAAATATTTTCATATACTTACATTTTTCCAAGAATTATAGTGAAGTGTCTCTAAGTTAACTTCCGTAATTAAATAGAAAAAATATTGTAATTTAAAAATACAAATTACAGATTTTTAGTTTTGAAATTTACTCAATTGAACTGAGAAAAACTAAACCAAGACTCACATTCCTAGTCTTGTCTATTTCTGTTCATGTGGAACAAGGGTACATTATTTCCTTAAGAGTGGCATCATCTCACTATTTTTTTTTAAATCAGCATGGATACTTTTAACATGTGTTCACATTCTTAGATCCTCATGCTGAAGAGCTACCATAACTCTTTCTTCAGAAGGAAAATCCACAACCATCTGCCTTCAAAAGCCCTCTTTAAATATCTTCTCTATGGAAACTTCTCGTGTGTCCTACCTTTATTTTTGTATCTCAGTCTGTTCAGAGTAGGTGCTTAATAGTGCTTAAATAAGCATATGCAAAAGGAATTTGCCTGAAATCCCTTAATATGTCTATTTAATGATTAGAAATCCTTTTCCTCTCAGGCTTTCCTTGGCATAGCCAAGGTGCAGGTACATGTTTGCCCATCCTCTCCAGATGAATCAGATTCCCTACATTTGGTGTCACAGTTACTGACATATTTTTGACTCTGTAGTTATATAATTGAGCTGGAAGGACTTCGGGAGTAATAAATGGTTAAATCCAGTTAGCTCAGTGACTTTGGTCAATTAACTTTTCTAGGATCTGTTATCCTTTCTATACAATGAATCTGTTCAACTAGTCAACTTCACATTGTCCTTAGAGGACTGAATAAGTCTTTTTGTAAGGTGGCACGTTTTTAAAGAAAACTTTAAATTGGAAAGCATATTGCTGACTGGTCAAGCTATATTAGAAGGGGTTTTCTCTTTGCTTTTTATTTGATGGATTGATTTGGAGACCAAGTTCTTTGGTTATAGATCCATTCATGAAATCCCCTAGTTTATTGTCCCAGTTCAGCTCCCAATCTTTGAGTTACAACACTATTTGTTAATAACTCCAATAAAGAAAATAAAAAGGTTTTTCAAAAGTATCTGGCTAATAGTTTATATAAAAATTCTAATGGGAAAATACTGATGACAACTAAACCTTTTATTTATTCATTCAGTTTCTTTTTTAAACCACATACCTTCCAGATTGCTTCAAACCATGACTCTACTCTCCTAGGAGCACATGACAATTGACTTTAATGCTGACTAAGGTTTCACTAGACTAGCTCTTGTGGAAAGTTTGTCTAGATTATAAGGACCAAGACTTTCAAATCTGTGCGTATGTAGTTTTTTTTCCTTCTAACTCTAAAATCTGTGTTGTCAATCACAACACCTGTCACTTGTTCATTCAATCACTGAGTCAAACCATTTAGGGGTTGTTTTTTGATTTTGGTTTTGTTTTCTGTTTTTGTGGTTCAAGGGATGGACCCTAGGGCCTTTTGGATACTAGGTAAGTGCTCTACCACTGAGCTGCATCCCTAACCGCAGCAAAGGTTTGGGAAATGCCATGTGGAGGACTAAAAATACAGTATTGAGTCTCTGAGGTGGATTAACTAATGGTCAACTTGGAATGCCCAGCTGAACTGAATCAGCATGGCTTGGGTGTGGAAGATCCACCTGAGGATTATTGCCAATGGCCATAAAAAGAGAACTGGAGGGGAAGATCAAGGACTGTTGATTTTCTAGGAAAAGCATTCTGAGGCTGGTTTTCCTGATGTGAACTTGGCTGTTCACCTTGTCAGAGAAGGAGCTTGGGGCCTCTCTGTTGCTGGGAATGGCTGCTGTTCTCAGGGGAGCTCTGATCTTCACCGTGAACATCACTTCCTGGCTCCAGTATAGATCCCTCGGCCTGGTGGCACAAATCCTTCACCCGACAGGTGCAGATTTTCTGGCTTCCACCACTGTCCTTTGGGCCTTTCTGGAGCAGATCCTAAATATTGACAAGCATGAGACATTGTTGTGGGTTCTAGGCCACTAGCTGGACTCATGGAGGACATTGTCTTGGACTCTAAGCCTTAGCTGGACTTGCGTGGGACATTGCTGTGGGATCCGGGCCCTTGGTTGGATTTTTGAGGCCTTTAGTGTGCGATTAATCCCTTGTACTCCTCTGCATTTGACTTTTTGGGTAAATATCATAAAATAATCCTATAAACTATGTGTTCTGTATTAAATGTATTCCCTTCCAAAACCCTGACTACAACAGTCTCCATTTACAGAAAACTCACAAGGTAGGAATGGAGACTGGGTGGTTGAGCTGTTGAATGCATTGCCAGTTCTGTCACTGGAAATGGAAATGTATCTTGGGAGCACAGAGAAAGAGCATTTCACGCAGCTCTGAGATAGCAGAGAGAGTTTTCAGAAGCAGGCTAAGTGCTCAAGATTGAATGACAATTATGCAGGGAAGAGGGGCTGAGTAATGAGAGTAGAGGTCAAGAGCGTGACCAGGAAATGGCGGTTCAGTACACACCAAGTTTGGAGTACCTGACGGGGAGAGTTGCAAATTGAGGTTGGGAAGGTGAGTGATTGAAATTAAGAGCAGATGGTTGACTTTCCGTGTAGCCAAGAGGTTTGGCCTTCATCCAGAAGGTAACAGTGGGTTGCTAATGGGTTTTAAATGGAAGAACACAGATTTGCATTTTTAAAAATTCATACTTCCTACAGACTGGGAAATGAATTCAAGAGACTAATTATAATAGCTATTTTGATAATGTAGGTGAGAATTGATAGACTCTTCAAAATAAAATACTGGTAATGAGGAATGGAGGAAATAACAGAAAGTAGTGATTGTATCAGTGTAGTGGGGAAGGCAAGAAAACCAGGTCTGGATGAGTGAGGACATTAGGCATATAATGGGCATTTGTTGGGTAGAACAGACATATTTAATGAATTACTATCTATTTGTTCTTTTCTGAAAAGAAATTTTGTACTTAGAAGAAATATTTTTGTAGAATGTTCCTTTTTAACTAAAGTTATATTGAGTTTGCATCTGGTCAAAACCTTAAGAAAATAAGAACATGAAGCCAATATTTTTTACTTTTATTTATTTCAGTATTATCATTCTTTACCAGCAAGAATCAGCTGTAAGTTTTCCTACTGTCAAATCCTGAACTAAAGCCACACCCTTTGCTAAAATATCAACCCGATAGTGTTCACAACAACACTTTCTTTCCTTTACAGTTTCGATGTGGACAATGGCACATCTGCGGGACGGAGTCCCTTGGATCCCATGACCAGCCCAGGATCCGGGCTAATTCTTCAAGCAAATTTTGTCCACAGTCAACGCCGGGAGTCCTTCCTGTATCGATCAGACAGTGACTATGACCTCTCTCCAAAGTCTATGTCCCGGAACTCCTCCATTGCCAGTGATATGTGAGTATGAAAATAGGCAAAGGAAGGAGTGAGGGCCTGTAGAAGACAAAGAAACTCCTCTCAAGAGTTAGTGATTGGATATAGCCAGTGATTTTGGCTCTACTGTGTCATTCTCCTTTTAAACAGAATGAGTAAAATTATACAAGCTGAAAAGGAATGGTAGCTGTAACTTGAGCACACTGTAACTCATGATTGAGCACACTGTAACTCATGATTGAGTACACTGTCACTCATGATAAGAAACAGTTGTTTTCCTGGAATATGAGAATTAAATTTTTAATAGAAACTTACATTTAAACCACCAGCTTATATTTATGTAGGACCTGAGTTTTAGCTACTCAGGTGAAAAGGGCATTTTTTAATATTTAGAAACCTTTAAACTCAGTTTGAGAATCTCTGTTATATTAGAGTAGATAGTGTTTTGGAGATATCTCAGTTGATGTATGTTCAGATGTTTTGTTTGCCAGATCACTTGAGAAATCTTTTGTAGGGGGGTTCTCAAATTAAACTAATTTTTAAATAGGAATCACTAGAGACAACCACAGAAAACATTAGACAGATTGAATACAGTTTAGAACATGGCACAGATTGGACAATAATTAAAATAGAAAAGTGGATTTGCTGATCTTAGGTCATCATTAGCTCATTTTTGTAGCACATTTTTGTAATTGTTCTACTGTTCTCTCTGTATTCGGGAATCTTTTGCATAGCCCCAGTACTTGTACTGTCATTTTTGGGTTTTTCTCTCTTCCTCTTTCCTTCCCTCTGTCCTCCTCTCCCTCTTCCCCCCCCCCCCCGCCCTTCTCTCTCTGAATTGGTCTCAACTTCCCTCCTCTTGATCTAGTCATTTGCCTAGTAACACTCACTTTCTCCTGGCACCGTGTCAAAAACTCAGAACAGTTTGCCATTGGTCTTATAGGATTTATTCTCTATGGGACCCCTGAGGGTTTCTTTTGGCACCATAACAGATCATCAAGGTAGGTCTTAAATAAGGTCTTAGAAATGAAATTGTTTTACTCATTATTATAATGTGTAGTTCTTCTTTGCTATTTTTGAGCAGTTGTATTATTGATATCTATTCTTCTTCATCCTTAAGCAATTTTCTTTGCCCAGTGATCCTATTTCTATGTTATCCTTGTCCCACTTTCATGGGCTTCAGATTTGGGACCTTTATGTATTCATTCACACATAATGTGAGTACTTCTTGAGAACCATAGTGTATGTGAAGTTCCCAATCTGTGGGGCAGTGGAGTCTGACATTCTAGACCATTGTCATAAAATATGATAGCCACCAGCCTTGAGGTATTTACAAAGTTTTGCAAGGATATGGAGAAGACAAGGAAGAGTCTCTCTGACCAAGAGTAGGGTGAAGAAAAGAACAGGCTAAGGGGAAAACATTTGCAAAATGTGAGGGATGGAAAAACCATGAGTTGGTTTAAAAAAAATCTGTTTGGTTTGAGTAGAAAAATATGCCAAGAGAAAAAGAAGAGTCAAATATTTTAGAAGCTGAGAGCCACAGAGGTTTTTAGCTGGTGTTTGGCCTGGTCATATTCTTGTTTTCATGCATTATGATTACTTTTGTGGAATTATTGCACAATGAAATGACTACAGGAAAGTAGTTGATGTCAAATTCACGGAAACAAAGCAGATTAAATATGATAAACACTTAAACTAAGGCAATGGCAGTATGACAAAAAAGTTGAACCACATACAAGAGGCACTAAACTTATGCGTATGTTGAGGGACCGACATTCAGGAAAGAGACTGAAAGAAAATGCTAATGTTTTCACCCTGAATGAGTAAATAAGTGATGTTTACGTGAGAACATAATGGACAACATAATGACAGACAATAAGTAATGAATTTGGTTTTTACAGGAAAAGGATAGGGAGAAAAAACAACCTTTGGGCTGGGATTTAGCTCAGTGGTTTCGCCACCTGCTGCACAACAGCAAGGACCCTAATTCAATCCTGGGTACCAAAAAAAAAAACAACAACCATTAATCACAAGGACCAAGAGCAGAAATAACAGTCCAGAGAACTGGGAGAAAGTTGAATAACCAGTTATCACCTGTAATTACTGGATCTTTGGATGACAGTTGACTTGGGGGTTTTGGGTGATAGAATTAGAAGCCCAGTAGGTGAGGAGAGAATTGAGATGCAGACCCGACCCAAGACAGTGCACACATCCTTGTAGACGGTTAATGAGCAAAGCCAGGGAGAGAAGTAAGCCTGCATGAGGAAGAGTCAGGGAGAGAAGTAAGCCTGCATGAGGAAGAGTTAAGCTAAGGGGGATTTTCAAACTTTTTATTTTAAAACTTTATTAATTAAAAGTAATCTTTAAAAATTTAATACTTGAGCTGGGTAAATAATCCAGAAGATAGACTAAAAATTCAAGGAAAAAAATAATGTTAAAATAAAATTGTAGTTGCTGACTAAAGTCTGATCCTAAGCTCAATAGAGACTATCCCTGAAAAAGTGGTAAGTATTGTGTTGCTTAGGAAAAACAAAGAAAAAGGAAGAAAGTGAAGGGGGGGTGGGGTATGAATCTGGAGCTCAAGGAGTAAAAGGTTTAGAAAATCAATGGCTAGTGATCTCTACTTTGCAACCAGAGAGAAAGTATAGCCATTAATAACAAAGGACAGAAGGGTGTGCTGCTTGACAGGAAGGAGGAGGGCTAAAATAGCCACTATGCTGATCACAAAAGAAAGCAAAAGAGAGATTAGTAGATGAATTCTGAATGTAATCATAGGTAATTATAAACTAGGTGAGACAAGATTGAATGCTAAGGTGTTCTTGAGCACTAATTAGTACTCTAACATTTGATTTAGAGAGCAGGAGAAAATTCACAATGAGTTAGTAGACTCTATTTTATGTGTTACATCACTCCAATTATGTTTCCTGTTTTCTAAGATTTTATAAACTGAGCTTTGGATGCTAATATATACAAATTATTTCATATATTCTACTCATGTTAGTAAAGATTAAATTCACATATGCACCTTTTGAAAAGCTTATAACATTTCATATTTAATTAGGATATTTATTTCCAAAGCCCATTTTGGTCTCATATTTCCCTGAACCAATATACGAGGGTTTTTTGTTTGATCAGATTAACATAAGATGGACAAATTTAACCAGACTATGATGCAACTCAGTGTATTCTTCAAGAAATAATATCTTGGCATTCTCAGCTATCCTATTCCCTTGGGATATTTTCATTGGAGCAATAAAGTTTTCCTTTCATATTCACTGACACCTGGGAAACAGTCTTTGCACCTGAGAGATGAAATTTCTGTATGAAGAAAAATAAATAGAATAAATAATTGCTAATTCAGTATTCCATCTGATACAACACATAGCATTCTACATATAAGGGATTATGCCTTCTTTTCACTTCTCATATGGCCATGTGTAAATCTGTTATCTTACCTCATTCAAATTAATGCTGTGTATATTATCCAGTGTCTCTAATTCACCTGCTTTATAGACAACATTACATTTTATTCATTTGATAATTTTATATCTATTGTTTTGGTTTAGCTTTCCTGTGCAGAAAATCCCTCAGAAATTTCAAACACAAACACTACCAAGAAAAGTTTATGATTATCATTCAAATGAAATGTTTTGGAAAAACCTTTCAATGCTTTGTAATTTTGAATAGAGGTGCTTAATTTATTGGGAAAATGAGAAGTAGGTAATTACTTCCTAATAGAATGTCATCATCTCATCTTCTATAAATAGACAATAGTAAAAAAGATGAGACATAAGGAGGAAAATACAAATAGTGATAGCAGTGATAAGCATAATAGATGTTACATGTGTATATTACTCTTCACCTTTCTGAGTAGTTGGGGGCGGGGTTTGGGGGGGTTCAGTGTTTTATTAGTACATGTTTGCAATATATAATTACATTTACAATGGGGAGTTTGTACCTGTACCTAATACATCTTAATTCTTTTTTGTCCTCTTCCTCTCACATCTCTCCCTGCTTCTTCCAACTCTTGTTCCCCTTTCCCATTTGAAAAAGATCTGTTTCCACTTTTTTTTTTACAATCTCAGTCGACACTTTCACAGACCTTTCAATAGGGAAGTTATTATGCCATTCTACAAGTGAAAGTTCCATAGCTCAGTGATCCTATTTTTTGTGAACATGACAAACACTTTAATTGTTTCTAGGAGAACATTATTTTCATAGTGCCATTGTGAACAAAACGCTGTAAACTACTATAGCAAGACTAAATTCATTTACCCAACTGAATTACTTAGCCCTATGAAAATATGGCTAAGAATAAGGTAACATAAAAGCTCAAAGTGACCAAAAAAGCAATCAAGCAAAAGTACAGCTGACTCAGGCTTATGGTATACTCAGGATCAAAAAATGTCACTTATTTAAGGCAGAAGAGAAGTTTCTGGCAGCTTCTGCCTCAAGACTACCACAAGGTTTGTTAAATACAGACACTACCACAGCAACTTAATTCTTAATGAAACTAAGAAATAAAACAATGCTAGGTATTAGTGTGAGTACAATAAGGAAATAAATACATGGAAAGTAATTTGAATTACTATTGATAGTAGAAACAACTAGGTGATAGAAGGTTGCCCCAGTAATGTCATGAAGAAACACAAAGAAAATTACATAACAGAGAAGCACATTTTTCTCCTTAAAGTTTTTCAACACACATTTAAAATTATTTTAGCTTCACAATAAGTTACTTTGATTGTTACCTATCACCCAATAATAAGATGTGTGTATGTGAAAACACACAAAGGTATTATGCATTGTGAAGATTAGTAGGAGAATCAACAGTGACTAGACAACATTTGGCTATAAAGCTATTAATTTATTTAAACATAAGCTAACTCTCAAACCATTTAAATTAAATGAAAAATCAATTCACCTGAATAACTGGTCCCCTCTTGCCATCCTGGGTAGAACACACACTGGCATATAAGAGCCAAGATGATGTAGCTTAATAGTAGAGCATTTTCCTAGCATGC